GATCTTGCTGTATGACAAGATTTTTTCAAGTTTGCATTGTATGCTGGTGCATACAAAGCAGCAAGATTTCAGGAATCTTTCCTGAACGTATGTATGAGCCATGTGCAAGGAGGAATGCACTGGCTCTTCCATTTGCTTAAATAAAAGTTTTAAATAATTATATGCAATTTCATTATTAATGAATGCAGGAAGTATCTAAAATTGATAAAATTCTGTCTCTTCCTATTAAGAACTAGAGCTGTTTTTAAATAGTTGAAGAATTATTCTCAAACTTTTAATTTAGTTTTGTTAGGGTTTTTTTGAGTCAGTTACTCCTAAAAATACCACCTTTTAGTGGAAGTACTGGCACAACCTTCAATATAGTGGCATAAATGATTGTTAGTAGTCTCTTGAGGATAAAACCTCAATAGTTGTTTAGCCATAGAACATTATGTTCAGTACCAGATTTCTTAGTTTGGTATACACGTGCCAAAAAAAAAAAAAAAAGTGAGAAATATTTAAATTCTTAAAAATATTGCTTTTCATATAAAGTTGTTGATGTTTCTTCTGTTTCTCCAGAAAGTTAAAGTTCAGCTGAGTGCACTGTGTTAGCTCAGGTGTGAGTTTAAAATGCTTCTTTAGCTCTGAATAGTAATTGCATTTGCATGATTGGTGTGCCTGGCGGTATGCAAGTAAAATTCCCATTATTTAAAGATATTTATGGGGTTTTTTTTTTTTTTTTTGAAGGAGAGGACTAACCATTGTGTAATTCAGGCTCGTAACTGCAGCCCTGGGTGCCTCCAGTTCCCATGATCTGTCTCCAGTGGTATTAGACACCTTAGAATCAGGCACCCAGTAGGAACCAAATTCCTCTCTCTTTTCAATATCAAGCAGTTGATAAATGTGCACAAGTTAGGGATCCACCTTGGCAATTGTGCCTACTTTTCAGTTTCTTTACACAGATGTAATGACTGTATGAGGTTCAAGAAAATAACAGATCATGCCCTCTGCCTTCTGTTTTTTTCAAGCATTTAGAACAAGTACAGCAAGGCGTTCTTTCAAAATATGTATTTCTTGGTTGCCTTTTCTCAGGCAAAGCAGTGTAGTTTCAGAGTGCCCAAGGGAAATCGTYGTTTTCCTAAAGTGCATTTTGTTCAGGACCATTATCCAGCACTGAATTCGGAGGTGGTAACTCCATTATCAGGCCATGGAACAGCCTGTTGCCTTTGAGGGCGCCAGTGCAATGCAGGAGTATAATCATGACAGATCATTTTAGGAATCCATGCAAACGAATATGTAGATTGAGAACAAATGATTTTTCATAAGAATGTGTCTTATGTTCAAAGTTTGAGACTTGGGGCCAAATTGTTAACTCTTGGCTGAGAGTTGATACTAAATTGAAGAAAACAGAGTGATACCAGCAAAAAATAATACTCTTTTTGTGTCCTGGAGTTATGCAAACTCCAGAAGACCTTGGAATATGGCTTGACAGCAGGAGAATGAATATAGTGAAGTGTCTTAAGAGATGTTACCCAGAATCTTGATTGGGAAATAGATGGTAATATACTTGCACTGTACTTGCATCACTGCCAGGCATGACAGTCATTCCTTCTCAGAGTATAAAGTGATGGCTGCACAGCCAGACACAGCAGGCTAATAATATCCTATGGAAAGCTCCATTTCTGAATTTCATCAGCTGTATCTGGTTTTATTCATTTCTCTTGTTTTTTCTAGAACATTGGTAATAGCTAAAACTGCATCTTAATATTTCCAGGCTTTGATACGTGTTGATAAAATCCAAAGAAAAATATGTAACCAATGAAATAATAATTGGTTCAAAGACCAAAGAGGAGGGATAGAAGTAATSTTTAAACTCTAAGGTTAGCAAAATGAACATGGAGAGCTTTGCTAATTACCTGCACACAGACAGTCCRTATTAAAGTAAAAAACCTGAAAGCTCACCCTGAACAGTTTCATGTAATGGTTATGTGTAGATTTCAATATTTTGAATAGTAAAGATTAGTGTGAATAATATCCTAGTTTTAATTTCCAGTAGTATACATTACAATGATTGTCTAAATAATATGAGTAACAAAAGATAAGTAAAAGCTTTTTCTCCTTAAGAAAATATGGTTTCTATACAGCACAATTGAAAAAGTTTGATTCCCATTTATTATGTTGTCAGAGCAAATGGTTCAGGCAGTAAAATGTTTAAATCACTTATAGGCAAGATTTTTTAAACAATGTTTTAATCTCTGGGCATTTAGAAACTAAATATTTAAGCAGCCACTAGACCCAATGTTTGAATTTTTAACTACCATTAAACTTCAAAGGACAAAATTACATGACCCTGTCATAAATTTGAGCTTGTCATAGAACCTAAACTTAAGATAATTTTTARAATAGATGTTAGAGACACTCAAAGCAGCTTTACCAAATTGGAGCTCTGTAAGTTCCAGCCCCAGTTCTCAGCCTGTGCTTAGCARTTGTGGCCAGCCTGTTTCTGGAGCTACTCTCTCTACTTTGTTCTTACCATGTTAAAGTTTCTACGCAAGTGGCATACGCTCATGAACTGATGTAAATACTTAAAAAAATCATAAAAAAACAGTGTTACAGAAGAAGAGCTTCATGTAGTTCTCAAGAACATATTTAATTAATGAAAATAACTTCTTTTTTATGGTGAAAGTTATATCCAATAAGAAAGCAGTAGAAATTCAGYCATAACTACATTTAACTGATGCTTTTGTGGCTTCCCAAGATGGTTCTCTGCCTAGAGCACGAAGAGGAGATGCTGGATTTGCTGATGGTGCAGCACAGCAGGCAGGAATCAGGTGCAGCCTAAGTTATGCCCAAGGTGACAATGTTAATGGTGATGCCTTTTACTTTGTTTCGAGGGTGAATTGGCAAAGAGTCCATTTGATGGAAAATGAACCTTTTTTTTTTTTGACTTGTAAATTGAGCAATTTTGTTTGGGAGTACCTGAGGAAAGAAAACAAGCTGAAAACTTTTTACTAAAGTGTAACTGTGTTTTTGCCACAGCAAAACCTCGCTGCCGGTTTATCGAACCCTGAGAAAAAGTAGGGGCAGGACCCTACGTCTTACAAGCAGGCTGTGTATTGTGGTTGTAACAGAGTAAAAAAATCTTTTTTTATATGTATATAATTACTTCAGAACAATGCTAGAAATTTAAGAAAATGGATGTTTGGAGGAGGTTTATGATCCCTGCTCGATACGTGTTCTGTAATCGTGGAGATGTGTTTTCTGTGTTACGTTACTATGAGCAACCAAGATGTTCACTTCAAGGGTGTCTTATTGCGATGAAAKGTAAAATCAAACATAAAATCTCTGATTAGCTTCAATACTAAACTCCCAACTGCATGCATTCATAATTTTACAGTGTGTTCTTTAAGGGCATTACGGGGTTCTCAGGCCATGAGTTATAGGTTCAGCTGTGGGAGTCTGCAACTCCTCACGCTCACCTCGGGCTGCAAGAGCTGCCAGGAAACCCTGCGAGGCTCCATGGGACCCTGGAGCTCCCAAGCTCGGCAGTAGACAACCTGATTTTAAAAAGTTATATACGGTCTCTGAGCACCTGCTTCTTCCTGCTCAACTGAGGAGCTATATGTTCTCCACATATCTTAAAATACGAGTGACAGCGTTATTGGCTTTGGGATTCCACTGGTTATTTTTTTAAGTAATTTTTTTTCTTTTTTTTTTTTTCTTTTGCATGTTCCTTCGAGTTGCAGCATGTGGAATACCCAGACAGGCTGTTTTGTAACTGCAGTTATAAAGTCCCCACTATTCCAGAAATGAATACCTCCGAATACCTCTTTTTTTTCAGTTGAAAAAAGAAATAGTCCGTATTCTCACTGATGTGTATTTCTAATGTGACTTTCAGTTGTTGGACTGGTGCTTTTCTTTTAAGCTGCCTTTATGAAAAAGAGTCCCAAACCTTATTTCACAGAAACTATCAAGTCATTGAGTGCAATAAAAGCTCTTGCTTTCTTAACCTTTCAGAAACTCGCTCAGTTGAGCAGTCAGGCTGTATTATTCTATATCTTGTCTAACATGAGGAAACAGTCCCTAAAGAAAGATAGCCCAAATTAACGCCACACTTTGTTAAATAGAGACATTCTTGGTTTTCACCAAGCTAATTCGATCCAGTTCAGTTCACTCATTTTTTTTGTACTCCCATCACAAAAGGCAGCCATGAATGAAGCAAGTTCATCATGTGTTTGACACATCAGTGTGAAACTAAAAGGCAGACTGTGAGGGCAGGTTCCTGCCTTCAGCTTTTCAGACAATACCCGATGAAAGAGGCCCCTCATTCAAAACTTTTCTCTAGCAAACGAGGCAAAATGCTTGAGATCACTGTTACAAGCAGGTATAATGGGAATTAGCCAGAACTTGYCTCATCAGACACCTTTTTATTTCTAGTTGTGAGTGGTCGTGTAATCCAATCTGTATTTAATAACCTCAGTCTTGCAGATGGTTTGCTGGATTTTTTTTTTTAAGCAAATGATTCCCTACTTTTTAACTTAAAAAAAGAGAATATTTACACTGTGAAATATATGATTTATAAATTCAGGTAAGGTAAGAAAAAATTCTTACCTTCGCCTTCTGCATATTTGGGATAATCACTAGGTCTGTAAAATAATAGTTTATTTACTCAAATATAAAACAAATACTGTTAATATGAGTCAGCTTTTCAGCTCTGCTTTAACTTGGAGATTTCACTAGAATTTGTCGCAATTGCCGTGAAAACGTATGGTAAGTATTGTAGGTTTTGTCTAAAGACAAGAACTTGACAAGAACAAGATGAAAAATAATAAAAACTGTAAACAAAGRGTATGTGACAATTTCTTTTAACTTTGAGTATTGTCCTACATTTCGTAAGTTCAACAAGTCAAGAAAATGTATGAATTCATATACCTAACTATTTACCTAAAAAAGTATTAAGGTATTCTATCAGATAAGTATATGTTGGTAATGTTTGCTTGTTTTTTTTGTTTCTCCCACAGTTTTAATACGAATCCTTCTGGCATTGAGGATCTCAGGAAAACGATGGTGAGTTCGGAAGCGTTGTGGAAAGCATTCAGTCAATGCCACCTAATTGGTATTGACATGAAGTGTTTAAGCTATTATTTTTTTTGTCCTCTTATGAGGAAATGTTTCTTTGTGTCCTCTTCAATAGATATTTCTAGAAAATGTAATAAAAAAATGTTGCTTGGAGACTTAAGACTGGAACAAGACAGCCTTTTACACTCAGTGTAAAATATTTCAGTAACTACTGGTATTATTTTTCACCCCTCTACGTCAGAGATCTGTCTGCGATCTAAAAAGAAACRCATTTGCTTTGAGGCATTGCAGGTAAATCCAGAGAAGTGAGTCAGGTGGATAGTTCTGCACTTACCTGTGATAGATTGGTTGAACTAGCAGGTGTTTCCCATCACTGTGGTTGGAGACTTGAGGATTTTTCTAGTCAAAAGGGAAGTAATGAACTTATATATGACAAGATTCACAATGCAAATAATAAGTGTTGAATATGAATAATGCAAAAATGCTGCAAATGAGAAAATAGTTTATTATTTAGAGTATCATTTTGATTCTAAAAGCACCTAGAATAAATTGTGTACTAAGAAAGAAARTGAGAAAAAAGAAGTCCACAGTTTCTTTACTTGAAATAAAACGCGGCCYTACTAGAATTTGTTCTCCAAATAGATCAAATCTTTAAAAGTGTGTTTGTTTTCARTTTTTAAAACATGCAGCAAATAAGTTGCACAAGCCAGTAAGAGGTTGTATTTTTTGTTTTATGCTCTTTTATGTAAATGACTGGTAATAACATTTGATGTTGTTATAAACTCCCAAGTTTCTATAATGTAAGAAACTGGTGGGAGATGTCAGGGTATATGAAGGCCGCCTTTGATCAGATAGTAAACTGAATTCTACGAGGCGGTTACTTAATCTCTGACAAAAAACAACATCAAAAAAATGATTTAACTTAGCATCTATTGTCTGCAAAGTAACCATAATTACAGTTTCTGTGCGCTTGCAAATGTACTACTGCAAATCATGTAATTTATTGCTGGTAAAAGCATCCCTGTAATTCTTTTAAGGAATAAGATGTGAATTGTTTCATTGAAAGGATTTAAAGGTGATAAAAGAAATCCTTGATGATTTTTCTTTTGGAATATCAACTATCCTAAATGTCAGTTGCAGGATTATAAGGTGGTGCTCATTTAATACGAAATACAATTAGAAGCAGAAGAAACTGTGTCTTTCACCCATAGTTTTGAATGAATCTATTTGATTTTTTTTTAACATTCAAGATTACTTTCTAAGGTGTTTGAAGTAATTTATATTAGATTCTGCAGTAATAGCCCTCACCAAGTTATTATATTTCTTCCTTGTGCATCACATTTAGTAATTATGTTTTTATGTCTTCTACTCTGGTGCCAACACCTGTCTCTGCAAGCAGTGTTTAAGTGGGAGCAGTAGCCAGTTGAAAGGGCAGCACGAGCTCTTTAAGGCCTAATTAAGAACTGGAAGGAAGATGAAGCGAGTAGGACAAAAGACGTGCAAGAAACTTAGATGATATTCCCAGGGCAAAATTCCTCATTAGAACAATAAAGAGATGATCATAGATTGCCAGGCCTTCATTTTATCTTACTTCGTTTCCTCCATTTCCTCGGGATGTCAGTTGGTAGCCCAGTAATATTATGCAGCTGAGAGACAACCATTCTTTACATAGCCTGTTGCTTAGGGTCTTTCTTCTTAGCAGTGCATTGTAAGATTAATGTTTTATATTAAAATTTTTGTAGCTGTTTTATAAGGATATGGTTGTTCCTTAATGTCTCCCTTGCTTTTTCAAACTGAACATTTAATATCTCCTACCTTTAGCAGTACTTGTTTCTAAGTACTGAGAACATATATCTAGAATTTTATTTAATGCAGTAGRTTATTCCCAGAAAGTTCTGTACGGAGCATGCATATAACAAAACAGCTTTAAAACATATGTATTGCACCCATTTTTCTAATACATTTTATATAATAATTTTTTAAAAATCATTTTAGTTTCTGTGCCTCTGCCAAATCAGAAAATTAAGCAAACCTTTATTTTTAGATATGAAAGCTTATATAATATCTTATATAATGTTTTTCCCAATGCATAAAAAAGTTTAGTACTGTAAGGAGAAGTTTTTACTCCCCTCTTATAGAAGAAGATTCACTGTATGTACAATGACCATAGAGTAAAGCTATTTTATCTTTTACATTCATTGGAAATTAATTAAATTAAAACCAGTTTATAAATTTCATTGGGCATTTTTAGAAAGTGGGAATTATCACTTAAAATAGTCCAACTTGTTCATGTGAGATTGTTACTAACGACTAAATACATGTGGATGATTATGGCATATCTCAAATGTAGTGAGAAATTATTTTAAAAAGCATATTTTCAAGACCTGCTGTCAGAATATAACTGATGGAAAAAGGCTGGTAGTTCTGTGATGCTTCAGCCTATTTGCAGTGCATCATCCCTGTTTATTACCTTTATTTGAAAGCTTGGGCCACTTGCATATTTTAATGATTAGATTTAGGCCAATGTGTAAATATTGATGTGTACTGAAAGAAATGAATGAAGCCAAACACTTGCATATGAGTTTATCCTGTGATGGGATCCAGGCTGGGCTTGCTTTTTCAATTTTAATGACTCGGTGCTTTATCAATTTTAATGACTAGGTTCAACTGTAAACAAAAAGCTGTGCTGAGTTCATAGTCTGTCATGTTGGAGGTTTGGGATTTGAGAGATTATATTATTTTGCTTAGCTAGAGGTTCCATATCTCAAAAATATTTCAGTTACAGTGCTAATACTTTTATAAACMAATTCTCACATTTTTTTTGGTCAATTACACATTTCCAAATATTTATAGTCTGGTTACTTAAGGTCAGCACGATTTCTTCTTGAGAGAAAATACAACTCACAAGTTTATAATGTTTTGGACTGTAAGTTGCCCTTTATTATATGGACTAAAGTTTTCATTTCTGATAAATCCTTTATCTATTGATTCATCAGAATTCATTATAGAAAAGACTTAATTTCCCCTGCTACTTAATTTGGCTCTACCTGCTTTACAGATAGCAAGAAGGAAAGATCTTCACTTGAAATATAAAATAGAAAGTTATAATGAATGATTCTGAAGACAAGGCTTGGAAGTTTGCTTGCACTGATGACTAAAAATGGCATATAAAAGACAGATGAGGACTGATGTCATTTAAAGCTTGGTAAATGGTTTGCTTAGTATTCTCAAAAGGTGGCACTTCAGGAAAGCTATGATAGAGCTTGAATTCTCTGGGCTCTTCCTGTTTTCTGCTTCAATTAAGGTTACCACATAGGTAATCTTAACGTTTTCAAGATGAATTTGCTAGCTGTTTTGGGGCTTAATGCTCACATGCACATTAAATGTGCATGTTTCTTTATGAGAAAGTTTTCTCTTTTTCTGAGATGATCGTTTTAGATACTTATTTCAAACTGGGCAGCCCTGTCWGCATGTGAATTCTCTCTTTTAGGGTTGTTGGAGGGAAAAGCTCTAGCAGACATAGAGATATAGTCAAAGAAAATTTGATTAACTCAAGCAGTCTACATAAGAACTATATGAAAGGCAATAATCTGTCAACCTGCTCAGAATAGTGAACTACTTAATAAAATTTGATGGTGCTCTTATTTTTTTTTTAACTTATTTGTAGGAAGGAAATCCTTTTGATGCCTCTGCAGGATACCGTAATCTTACTTATGAAGAGATTTTGCAGGAGCTCGTGAAACATAAAGAGCAACTTAAGAAGAAGGACACCCATATTCGTGAACTTGAGGATTACATTGATAATCTTCTCGTACGAGTAATGGAAGAAACGCCTAGTATTCTCAGAGTGCCATATGAACCTTCTCGAAAAGCTGGCAAATTTTCCAAAAGCTAAGATGATACTTGCTGGTAGTTTCTGCTGAATGTGTTAATGGAAGGAAAACAAAACATTTGGACTGCTTTTCATTCCTTTTCTCCTAAGAAATTCCAGGAATCAGGGAAGGAAGGGAGTACAGTTTAAGTTTTTCATCTTTTCTTTTTTTTTTCTTTTTCCTCCAAATACGAGCACAACTGCCAAAAGTAATATTCTGTTATGTTAGCTAAATAACTTCTTAAATTAACGATGATACAATGTTCTGTGTTAAGTGAACATCTCTTTTAGCTACAGAATATTACTTGCACTAGAGTAGATCATACACATTAAATACGTCCATGCAGTTTTATATGGTAGTCTAGTTTTCACCATCTGGCAGTTTCAACTGGGAAAGCCTGTGCTATTTTCAATGTTTTCTTGACTGATTATTGGTATTATGTAAATTTTCTCATTTTGGTATTACATACAGCATGCCATCAAAACCACTGTTTTCAAGCCAGATTAATATGCTTTGCTAAATCTAAGTGTGGCTCGTTGCAGTGGAAAGTAGTTTGTTTTATACATATTACCAGAAAACAGTGATGCACAATCTTTACAAAGAGTAAATACTGTATCCTATACAATGTGCTTTTTGTATAATAATAATGTAAAACATATCAAGCCATTTCAGTAAGGGCACATGCTGCAGTCAGTTATTTTACAGTTAAATTCCAAATTTTGTGTATAATGATTGAACTTTGGTGGTAAGCTCATAGGCTTATTTTGAGGATCTTTTTGTACAATATTATCGCATGCCTTTTTATATGTTTAAGTGCTTCAGACAGTCTTAATAGTCAGAATTAGGAATGGAGAAAAGTATGGAATAAAGATAGGAGCACTTTGTTCAGTCAGTGTCTAGTACGGTAAAAATATAGGAGRAATGAATAGACTGAGCTAAATAGACGTGATAATTCTGAAAATATAAAAGTGAGTCCATTTAAGCTTGAATTTTACACGCTGTATATCTGTCTTAGCTTTTCTAAATCAAYAGTATATGCCTTCAGAAATAGCCTGTTGCTTAAACACATCCAAAGWACTTGGGAAGGCTCATCACATAAAAGATCTGTATTCTTTGTAAGTACTTCAAAAAGTCACTTTTCACCAAGGTAAATGAAGGATGAATATATTAAAAATGTTCTTGGTTATTTAATAATTGCTTATGAGATGACATATGAAAAAGGTATCTGCTATTCACTACATTTACAAAATATATAGATGAACATACAGTAGGAAAATACTGTAGTAGAAGAATCCTTACAGTATTTGCRTATGTAGATTATATTCTTCATTTCCTCTATAGGTATCTAAGTTGGGTTGTCTTTTGCTCCAGAGCCGTAAAAAGAATGTAAAACAGGAGAATATTCTAGATTTGGAGATGGCGACTCTTTTTCTTATATTCCTCTTTTCCTACACATGATCTGTTTTTTCACTTACAGCATCATATAAAAGCTATTGTTGGGAGGGAAAACTCTATTTTCTTTCTGCTTTTCTAAAAAATCTGAATATATTTAATTTTCAATCTTAACTTACAAAGATTAGTAAAATCCTCTTGAATAATTATGCTCTGGAAAAATATATGACAAAATCTTATCAGAGTGCGTTTTACAATGTTAAATTCTGTAGCAATACAGAATTTCCCTAGGAAAAAAAATAGCTGTACAATTATTCTCAGTTTTCAGATTCTTCTTTTAGTTCGTGGCGGAACATGATGTGGGAGAAGATACTTGTACTAGAACTGCCCTTCACCTCCCCAGCACCATGTCCCTGAAATTTGTGAAGTTTGAACATTTACAACACCACTTTTGGATCCATTAGCGTAKATCATCGTACTTAAGTGGTGCCCAGGTACTTGATTCCACCCATGCTCTGCCTAACTGGAGTACGTTACATTTAGACATCTGTGACAAAGAGATGGGCYCAGTTCATAAAGTAGCCTAAGGATTTATCAAGTCTAAGCCTAAGTTGTGTACCTCATAAAACCATTTGAATGTTCTTTTGACCTTAAGATCTAAATGACTGTAAATTTGTAGTAACACATTAAAAGTGCCAAAGGTTACGTAATAAGTTGCGGTACATTTACTGTTGGAAGTTAACGTTTGCACTCAAGTAGATTTTAGCTTTCCAGCTACACCAAGGTCTATTTCAGCTCTTCAGTATTCACACAGAAGTTCTCAGTCATTTTAGAATACCTGGCTGAGAATGGTGATTTTCTCATGTTGTTAATGGGGAAGTGTGCAATTGTTTTGAATTCTGCAGCAATTTTAAAGCTCGCTGGTACAATAGGAGACCATCTGTATTATCTGTGATCATCAAATCATACACACCAATGGGAATTTACAAGTAAACTCACCACAGAATGCATTCTGATGACTTTCAGTTGCAGAACAACTTGTAATTATTAAAATGAAACTCTACTATATTTAGCACCTCTGAAATCACTTCTTTTAGAATGTAAATGTAGAATATCTGAATGCATGAATGACTAAAAGCAGATCATTTGACATATTTGCATACCAAGAATGATAAGCAGATTAAAGGTAGCGAAAAGATCAATTTTTGTGCATTAGGGAAGAAACCTATTTGAAGCTTTGAATGTGCTATCTAGTCTATACTGTTTATCAGGAAAGAGAATGACAAATGCAATTTAGGAAAAAGTAAAGTTGCTAAAAGATGCAGAATGGGACCTTTATATTTTTCTGAAGTTCATATAGATAAAGGTACAAGACACTTCTGGAACAATTTCTGAAAAGTTGCTAAATGTACATCATTTTCTGTTTAGAAAGACTTCTGAAAAATATCATCACACTATGTGTACATTTATAAAACATGTAGTGTTCAAATGGAAACATTTCATACAGCGCAATTTCAAAGCTGAAAACAAAGACACTTCTGTTTTTCCCTTAGCTTAAAATTGTAGASTCTATTTCAGATCAAAAATACCTTACCACTTACGATCAATCTGCCTTGTACTTGTAAAAGGTGGGGAGGTAAATCTTGGATATCTCTACATCATTTTTGTCTTTTCTCTCAAAATCAGCATGCAAGTTCACCATCTAAATTTTGAAATGGCTTTTCTCATAGCCATATACTTTGCTGGTTTGAAAGAACAAATATCAAGGCCATATTTTAGAGTTGTAAATAACAAATTAAAACTTTCTACCATTCAAAAAGGATTACATATATATATATGTGTGTGTGTGTGCAAGCACATATATATRTATACACATATATAAAAAAAACCTCTTATGGCTGTATTTTATGTTTAGCTTGGTTTTCCACCTATTAATGAATGTAGCGTTCTCCATAGATTAAGCATAACTGCATTCATTGCTGTTGGCTCTGTCTCAAGAACTGTTTGCAGTTTTCCAGCTGTGAAAACGTTGCCTTGCATTTAAAATGGTTTCATGATGTGGGGACCTAATGRAACTCCAGCTCATTAGTTGCTAGTTTGCATTTCATTCTGTACAGGGTGCCCTTTCTTAGATGCATCTTCAAGCAAACAGAACTGCTGTCTTAATTTGTTTACTGCTGCACTGGAGGTTTATTTACACTTCCAGCTTTAAGAAAAATTATTGCCCTACATCAAATTTGTAAAGTAGGCTCATGCTTTTCTGCTGTTTATGTATCTATTACTGTTGTAGATATGACAGAGGTGATAGCTGTGTGTTTTTTAAATGGTGATATTTGAAGCATGTTGACTAACTTCCACTCTTCAAAGTAACTGGTGAAGGATTGTAGTGCTGCAGTGCTCCTGGTGCGAGATGTAAGGATCTGTCGGCACTTTTGTTTTGAAGCCCTTATTTTCAGGGATTTATGACTTCTAAATCTACACACAGTCGCTGGAAGTATTTAATATGCAATAGGTAGCACTTTAATCTGTTTATGAAGGATTTAGAGGTTCATTTCTGTTGAAGGAGAAAAAAAAAAAAAAAAAAAAAAGCATGGTCTCCTAAGGGTTATTTGGCATTTCTTTTATCTTTCAGAATTTGTACATTGAGGAATCCACTGTATGTTACAAATGGTAGAGCCGAGAGTATTGATCCTAGAAGCTTCCAAATGTCGTGTATTACAATGTATGATAAAAAGCTGAAGATCCAGGTTATAGAGGAAGTCTATAAAAGATGTGAACTTAGAACTTAAGGGTTGATTTTTTTTTCTTGTGCAATCAATAGTAGTTTGTATACATTTAATAATGGTACAGAATCACAGCTATATACACATGTGACAACTATAAACCTATAATTGCATGAAAAGCCTTATTTTAGTTTCATTAATGCAACGTCAGCTCCTTTAAGTTGATTAAAATGTTATCTTAATATTTTAATTTCTGTCCATTAAATAAGTATTGCATGTTTAACACTAATAAAGCACCACAATGCACTACCACAAGATTTCTTGAACTGTGATGTTAGTCTGTATAACCTTTGAGCTCCACTTAAGTATGTATTGATAATAMAAGAACCATGGTTTTAAAAATCACAAATCATAGAGAAAGATATATTTCCTTAAAGGTGATTATGAATGGCATGCATGAATATCCTTCCTGTTTGCCTGCTAGCTATGAATGGARGTCTCCTCAGTAGTCGCTAAAACTTGTAATTGTTGAAAAAAGTGACGTGTTGTTAATGTGCTAAAATATATCCCCCTTTCTTTTCTTTTTTTTCTCTTTTTTTTTTTTTTGTGTGAGGACCTTGTTCCTTGTAACAGTTCCATTCCTCTGACTTTATGGTTGTGCAAATATTATGATGAGATCTTTGGTGCTACAGTAAGTAAGCATTCAGGAGGATGACAGATACGTGCAAAGCTTTGATATGGAAAATCATATGCATTTTACTTTTCCTGTTTGACAGAGTAGATCCTAGCCAGAATGATGGAGCACTGTGGTCTTCCCCCTCATGCCTGCCCCCCAGGCATGTTCTCAGTGCTCCTACAAGTGTTGAACACATTTTTCTGAGGAAAAAAATGATTTTACCTCTCTTCTTTTGTTTTTCTGTGAGGCAGCAGAGTCTGTCACCTAACAAAAGCAGTTTCCTTGGATGCTAAGCACATAT